TCAATGTATTATAAACGTTTCTTTCAAACAGATAGCCCATGAAAATTTAAAAAGTAAGTAAAGAAATGCATTATCGACGGCTTTTCTGATAAAGGGTGCCATCTTAAAATGGTAGATGATACATGTCGTTGCACATGGTTCGTCCTTGTAAAGTTGGTGATACAAAAAGGTAACTTATCAGCATCAAACAGATCAGTGATGCGGTTTATGCAACGATGCAGATACATGTATAAGAAAGATCAATAATCGCAATACTGATTAAGGTTAGAAGAAGACTTATTTTTTCTGACTTTGAACTTTGTGGACTCATAGCATATATGTTTAACTCCTGGTTATATTTCTTACCATTATTTTCGAAAACTTTCTGGCTTAAAAAATGAAACGAATGGTGTTTTACGTCTAAGACTTGTTGTCTTGAAAAACATTCCTGTCAGTGACTATTATTATGGTAGCTACAAAGCCAAACTTTTCAAATATTTTTTGTATTAATCGATTCAATGTTCGATTTTACCTGGTATATATTTGATCAACTAAAATGATGGAGAATACATCTTCCCATACAACACTTATATTATCTGTTTTACGATGGTGGTACCTAGTTACTGTAGCATAATTTCGGCTATAACATACCAAAATATATAGATAATTAAAAATTAACTATTCATTGCAAAATAGAAAAAAAGAATTGACCTAAAGTGACATTCAGCTTTTTTTGTAGGTCGAAAAATAACAATGTATCTGAAATTTTTAGCTAAAAAATCCAGCCGTTAATTGTTTAACGCCATAACTATTAAAAAGTTTGCGTGAGGTTACGTTAGTTTTAGTTTGTTATGCTTTTTGCAAGCTGTAAGAAAACTACTGTACGGATTTGAGTAAAATAATGACTTGTAGAGAAATATGTCTCCTACGTATTCTAAAACTTTCAACTAAATATAACGAGCCATTAAAAAGTCAAACACCAAAACTAGGTCAAACTGCTTAATTAACAATTAGTACAATGATCAAGTAGATACATAAAATAAAAAGTATACTTTAGAAATATTTTCAGGTATAATTTATGACGCTTTTGATAATGAAAATGATTTATAAAAATAAAATCCGAATGCCCCTTTAAACTAA